TAAACCTTGGTGAGTAAGTATCCCCTTTACTATATACTTAACTAGTGAAGTATTAAACCTTGGTGAGTAAGTATCCCCTTTACTATATACTTAACTAGTGAAGTATTAGACATTGGTGAGTAAGTATCTCCTTCACTATATACTTAACTAGTGAAGTATTAGACATTGGTGAGTAAGTATCTCCTTCACTATATACTTAACTAGTGAAGTATTAAACCTTGGTGAGTAAGTATCTCCTTTACTATATACTTAACTAGTGAAGTATTAGACCTTGGTGAGTAAGTACCTCTTTCACTACATTATCACTATTATCTCATATTATATTGTTATAATAGCATGTTTACCCAGCACATTTTATTCAGCAGTAGCATGAAGAAAATTATAATACTCATATATTTTGCTTCATGATAAATTATCAATAGTACTAATTGTGTTATATCAGCATGTTTATAAAACACATTAGTGGATGGCAGTGTAATCTTTTATGTTTGCTTTATAATAGATTACAAAAGGCAGCAAAAAGTGATACACAAGATCACGTTATACTGTTTTACCTTGAAGGAAAACTAAGTGAACACAACTACATCACGAAGTTTTAGGAATAAACAGTAGAGTTGATAAACATGAATCTCCACAGTTCTTCTGCAGAGGGAAACATACATAAAACCACGACACACATTACTACAAAATACACTCACCTTCAGCCTCATTAACTTCTTCAGGAATAAAGGAACAATTTGTACATTCTTCAGTAGTCAGAGGACCAGATTTAAACATTATACATTGAACACACTCCTTAAGATCTTCACAGAGCCCAGGACAGGTCTGAAATGTCAGAGTAAGACAGGAGATTGAACTACACTTCCCCGTATCAGAGTACAACAGAATATTAATGTCTTGTCTATTCCATTCAACATTCTCTTTCTACATATTTTAACACATATTATGCAGAACACTTAAATAATTGACTGAAGTTTACTCACAGGGCATTCCTCACAATAACGTCCACTGTATCGTTGATCTTCTGATTCGTAACACTCGCAAACACCACACCTGCATTCCCCATGCCCACTACAGATTTGCTGCAACAAAAATAGTTTGTTATTTAAAAACTACAGCATGATTCCTAAACTACGTAATGTGTTGTTTTGTTTTCAATGAAAGACTTTACATGTTTATAGTTTTTTGATGTTAGTACATCAGAATATTTGATAACCTAACTTCACACCTGAAAGGGAGATGAAGACCACCTGAATGGGTCACTTGTTTAAATCACTCACACCATTATACAACAGTATGTTGTCTGTCAGTCAGTCAATAGACTCTAAAATGATGTCACATAAGGAATGCTTAATATTGCAATTTGTGCTGTTGTGACATCAGTACAACATGTGTATGCCATCAATTATGACATATGGACTTGAAGAGCAAGAAATATAAATATCTATTACTCTTAAGTTTGGTTATATTTATTAATCTTGAAATAGAACACTTTCAGTGACTCTGCAGAAGTACATCTGACTACCTCTATCAATTTACAGTGCGACCAAATAATGACGATTCATTACATTAAATTGTTTAAAACCTTGAACTAATTATATTTATGTTAAAGAAAACAAATATACATGGGATTTTCAATAATCATCTGACATTACTAAATCAAACTCTGGACCAAGCTTAGAAAACTTAAATTGTTTATTATTAAGATCTTTCTTTATTAAAAGAACCAACAACAAAAAATTATGTCAGAGATTTCTCAAAAAACAATCAATGATTTTACATCAACATTTTGGCCATAGTTCATAATTCTGTCTAATACAGTTTTTACTGAACAAAACCTAAAGTATTAATTAACTTTCAAAGATGGGAACAAATTCTACATGAAATATGACACTACGTAACATCAGAAGCTACTTTACTATGAGATAATTAAAGATCAGAAAAATGGTTTATACTCCATTTTTTTTCAAAATTGACTAATGATGTTTGTTAATTGTTTTACTACTTGTACCAATACAAAATTACTGGTTTATATTCTACCATCCCTCATGTTTGTTTTCTCCCTAACACACTGCTCACGTGAACACGAACAAAGCACACCAATTGTTGCTACTGCTACCAAAGCACACCAATCATTGCTGCTGTTACCAAAGCACACCAATCCTTGCTGCTGCTACCAAAACACACCAATTGCTGTTGCTACCAAAGTGCACCAATCATTGCTGCTGTTACCAAAGCACACCAATCCTTGCTGCTGTTACCAAAGCACACCAATCCTTGCTGCTGTTACCAAAGCACACCAATCCTTGCTGCTACTAAATTACA